TAAACCGTTTGAGTTGCCTGTTAGGTCTCCAGCTCGAATTCCGTCAGTCTTCCGTGGTCTCATTTGAAGAAACACTATAGGAGGGTAGACTTGAAACCGTGAGAGAAATTAGGCCTATATGACTTTGCAAGTGCAGCAGAATAACTGCTGGTGTATTGGAGAAGACGGATACCTCATTCTTGAAACAGGTGGAATTGTGCAGACAAAGATCTAGGCATTATTTTGTTTGGTATTGGTATTAAAATATACATGTCGGGTGAGAGTGGTGCACGGAATGTAGTTGAACGGTATGTAGATGACGGGCACAAAGCAAAATTCCTGTGTGCAGAAAAACACCATCAATCCCTGCCCTTAATGCAACAGGGAATGTTCGCAGGCACTTTCATTCACTGTAGCAATTTTGAAATGCGATCAGCATCAGCTGACATGAAGTCTAAATTGAGCATCCCAAAAAACGAAGGTCACGTACTGATTTCATCGAGTGATGGGAATCATGATGCTTGGTGTGTTACGGCCTGTTAGAGGTTCATAAAAATCGCTTGTGGTAGGAAATCAATCCAATAAATTTTCCGGTGGGAAACCGAAAGAGCACGGCAACCGAAACGATCAGTTTGAGTTGAAATAAAACAGCGTTTTCTTTACTGGTGGTTTTTCAAAAGAGGCATCTCTAATATTGAAAACATTTCACCGTAATAACAAATTCTCCCCGAATTCAACTAATTTATGTCATCTAGGTAAGTATTAGCTTTTGGGATTAACGTTTCATCCTATCTCTCACTGGAGGTGCGTACATATTATTGATAATAATATTATTACCATTGCTCACTTTTAAGCCAGGGAATACATCCGAAACCAGAAGTTTGAGTTCAGACAACTGCCACCCAAATGCCGAAATTTCAACGAAAATAATGACATTTTCTGTGTTCTGCGAAAAGGTATGTAGGATACCTGTAAACTGGCTATTGGAGTTTAAAAGAAAAGATATAACGGAGAATCAGATGGAATATTATTCGAACACAAACATACTGCAAAATTTGCAAAAATGCTATGTGGAAGCTGTTCCAAAGAATAGATACGAACTCCTGAATTACTAATGTGTAATAACTTTGTGTTCTGATCATTATTTGGGCTGACTCAATGTAAATAAATCATGTTTCGCTTCATATTCCGTCAAGGTTTTGACCTACTGATGAGGGCGAAAATGAGGTATCGTCCGAATGTTCAGCAAATCGACTCACGACATTCAGGGAGAATGCAACTGTTGTAACCCAGTGTCTCACGACTACTTACGATTTTTTGTATTTATAAAATCAGACAGTGCTGCCTCGATGATATCATGTACGCAAATGGAAAGTGTATATCAGGCGCTCTCGTTACAGTACATTGAGTATTTGAATGATCCATTGAGACGCACTGAACCAACATAAGATAATACATCATCAGTGCAAAAATGCTAATCAAGTTTGGTCGCCATAAGACAAACGGGTGAATGATGGGAATGTTCCACACAGCTTGTACTTAGCAGTTTGGTGTAGATTTGTTCGTCGAACTTAGCAGATAAACTGAATTGAAATCCCTATGGGATTACCAATATGACCATTATCAATGCCGGGATTATAAAAGCATATTAACTCAACAGAGTGGATGGAAACAAATGTACAAATATAATACTAAAGATTCGCAAATTGAGTCCGTTTGAAAGTCACATTTGTGGGGAACAAAAAAAGCAAGCCACGTGAATAACGAGTTATATCTTATGTGTTATGAAGATGACTGGGTAGATGAGTACGGGGTACGCATACCTGATGGGCGGCAACAACAGTTTGGGGGTCACTACCCAAATGAAACGAATTCTGTTCCAAGACCTCGGTTACTCAAAATAATTCTAACACGTCAATTGAAAATATATTACGAATTTGAAAGAGATGTACTGAAACTAACTTGAAATCTAAATGTTTGATGAAGAGCTTACTGATGGCACATCACTAATTCAACGCTTTTTGGCGTGTTTAACGAGTACTCTTTCCTCAGAAATCTAAAATGGCTGATAATAGTCTTTGGACAGTTTGAGGAATTCATTGGCAATTGCTGCAGGCCTTCGATTTTCCTGGGAGTGGTATCATTTCGCAACTTCACTGTCGTAATTTTCGGTGTAATTTTTGTACTGGTAGCATTCTGACATAGTCCATTCATGAGTGGCGTGCACCATTTTCGTGGACTTCTAGAGTTTGTTAATTATTTTCGCCTTTTTCTAATACACTAGCATAATTCATATTTACGTGTAAAGACATATGTTGCATTTACACTCTACCGTTCTATTCTTGACTCTGCTGTTCTAAGACGATACAATTCCACTGTGAGGAAATATTTCGGAATTTTTCACCCAAGCATCAAATCTGCCGTCCGCATCATCGAACCGTTGAATCACTGAACACATTTGTGGCACAAACAGACCTATTGCCAGGTTTAGTCGTTCACTTTGAAACATGTCTATTTTGTCGTTTTCTAGGTACGAACTGTCTGTACTTTCCCCTATTACATATGTGACATAGAATAAGTTAGGGTTATTTCCTTGTTCTGTGACAAGCAAACATCTCGCATTAGCTAGAAACCCTATAACTCTGTTTTCTCCCTAACTGGCAAACTGGAATCGACGTTTGCCTCGAAAATCTCCACCTTGAAATCTGCCTACCAAGGGTCTGACTACAAGGTAGCAACTAGACAGCAAAATGATTGTTTCTGTGGGATACCGGTGAACGGAGTGACGTTTATTTTGGAAGAAAGTGGGTTGACACCGGGATTTCCAAAAGATTCTAATTATTATAAACTAACCGGAATCTGATAGTTTGGTTATACATTTTATTTGGAACACATTTTTTGTGTGCAAGAGACTTGATAAAATATTATGATAGGATTTGAGGGAGCGGCAAATAACCGCCATATAGCAGAATTGTCTGAGGATTTAACTGAAGATTTGTGAGGGCGATAAAGTACCAAATATTACTAAACTATCATGGATGACTTTTACTTAATGGTATAACAGACACGTTGGTGTTCGTTCCCGTATCCGCAGCATTTGAGTAAGCACGGTCACAAATTAATTATGAGTGGATGTTCCAAAACACTGTTCTTTCCACACAAACACACACGGTCAGTCACTTCCTTGCGATGAATTCCGCCTGCCTATTTTCCTGGACGCAGCTTTCGGCTTCACTATGATACCCAAAAGTTCGTTGAACGGGATCGGAAAGCCTATAATGGTTACGCTAAAACAAACGGCATAGAACGTTTTTGGTGGACCACTTCTACTCACAGATGGAATCGAGTGTATTATTGCCTCCAATGCCGCACTGTTCGAAGGTATATGATATCTGACAAATCGTCCAAATTTCATCCTACTGGGGCTCTAGTGGGTCAATTAATTGAGTCTTTTCATCATACCACACAATTCACGCATGTGACAACCTCGAGGTTTCTCGAATTCCCTCGGTGTCAGATCAGCATGCCTTAACATTCCCACTAAGTTCGGAAGAAAACATTGCCTCAGCCTTCCAAGATGGTATCTGCAGGTAGATACGATGACAGCCAGTCTCAGTGTTCTTCCTGATGTCAAACTGATATTCTGACAAACACTACCAAAAGCATATGATACACTGCCATGATCGATCAGAAATGGAATCGATTTCAAAGAGATGAAGTAACCCATCTGAGGAAACTTAAGGGAGAAATCATTCATCCAAAGCAGATTGGACCGTGATTTAACCGACACCATGGTACGAGTCAGCGCTAGTTCTTCTCAAGCCAAAACGTGTTGGCAAAAGTTTACCATAACAAGCGAAGTAATTGGAAACATCTATCACATCCGTTGAAATAGTAGAGATAATGCTTTTTAAATAGTCGTAGTAGAGGATTTCTTTGCGTGATATACAAATCAACTGAGGCACACGGATTGCAACGAAGTGCAGTACTCAGACCAACAGTTTTTCCAACTGAACTCATTCTGGACACATTCCACTGTTGAGACTGGATCATGAACCGGAAACAGAAAGACAATATCAGCTGGCACCCTAGACCTGTCCACCGTGCAGATGAAACATCCGCGAGCAAAACAAGTGATTCCCATCTAAATCGGTTTGATGGCTTCCATCATACGACAAGTTGTGTACTCGATAAGCCAGTGTCTGGAAACCTCAATAAAGCCTCCACAAACAATGCGAAAACATGGAAATCAGAAATCGGTTGGGCATATTGGGCCCAGTCAATTACTCAACAGATGTGGCTGAGCCAGCCTTTTACACATCAAAGAAAGCCGATTGAACCTCGCCATAGAAAAATTTCAGTGTTTCAGTTTTCAAGAGGAAACAATCCTACTGGGCAGACAAATTCAACATTACTCTGTTTTCTTCTTAAATAGCCAACATTTCCTTCATACCAATATGCTGTCATTCGACGTGCTGTGTCTCCACTCTTACTATCCGCGAAATCGGGTTGGTGCGATAGGATTCACAACGGGGATCCATCATTCAGGCGGTGTGTTGAAAGATCGCTGAATAGAAATGTGATGGACCAAAGCAAGTTTTCTTTCCCCAGACACAATTCTTTGCACTATCGAGTAGTGTTCAGGACAATAAGACCCATCTTAACAACCGTAGAATTTCATTCAGTTTGAATCCCATTGGCAGAAAAAAAATTGTAATATATTTGATGAAACACTACATGAAAACTTGCTGAAGTAGTACCATTTGGTTTTGTGTACAAATCGTTTTTAATCACTATTATTCAATCCCTGGTGATTGTTTTATGGGAATTGGTTAATACTGACCGAGACAAAGAAGCAAGTAGAGGCAATCTGGTACTGAGTACGACATTGTAGTTGTCAGTGATATTCATCCTCCATTTTGTGGGTGTCGATATTGAAATACTGTTGATTTTTTAAAGAAAAATGAAAACAGTTTAGAATTAGAAAGATATTGGTCGGTCGACGCATCATTGTCATTATCCTACTCCTCTTCATTTTCCTCATCGTCGCCATCACCATCATCATCATCATCATCATCATCATCTTCATCATCATCATCAACGTCATCATCATCATCATCATTATCATCACCAACATCACCATCATCCGAATAATCATCATCAACCGAGTCATCATCATCATCATCATCACCATGAACCGAGTAATCATCATCATCATCATCATCGTCATCATCATCATCATCATCATCATCATCATCATCCGAATAATCATCGTCATCATCATCATCATCCGAATCATCATCATCATCATCATCATCATCATCATCATCATCATCCGAATCAACATCATCATCATCATCCGAATCAACATCATCTTCCATGTCATCATATTCATCATCATCATAGTCATCATCATCATCATCATCAATATCATCATCATCATCCGAACCGTCATCATGCGAATCATCATCATCATCATCATCATCATCCGAATCATCATCATCATCAACATCCGAATCAACATCATCTTCCATGTCATCATAATCATCATCATCATCATCATCATCCGAACCGTCATCAAGCGAATCATCATCATCATATAATGTCATCATCATCAACATCATCAACCGAGTAATCATCATCATCATCCGAATCATCATCATCACCAACGTCATCATCACCATCATCATCATCATCATCATTATCATCACCAACATCACCATCATCCGAATAATCATCATCAACCGAGTCATCATCAGCATCATCATCATCATCATCATCACCATGAACCGAGTAATCAACATCATCATCATTATCGTCATCATGATCATCATCAACATCATCATCATCATCATCCGAATAATCATCATCATCATCATCATCATCCGAATCATCATCATCATCATCATCATCATCCGAAACATCATCATCATCATCATCATCATCATCATCATTCGAACCGTCATCATCATCACCATCATCCGAATCAAATCATCATCATCATCATCCGAATCAAGGTCATCTTCCATGTCATCATAATCATCATCATCATTGTCATCATCGTCATCATCATCCGAACCGTCATCATGCGAATCATCATCATCATATAATGTCATCATCATCATCATCAACCGAGTAATCATCATCATCATCCGAATCATCATCGTCACCATCATCATCATCACCATCATCATCATCACCATCATCATCATCATCATCATCTTCATGATCGACATCGTACAGCTTGTGAGAGCGGGGGGAGCCTTCCTGTTCACTGTCTTTCTCATCATGGTGCACGCACAAATTGAAGGAATGATTATACGAGGTGGACAGCGAGCACAGCAACACGAGTGATAATAGGTAAGAACTCCCTAGTAGCCAACACACGGAATACATGGTGTAACTGTACAAACGCACATTGATCGGTCATTTTGATTCAGCAGAAAGTGACAACACGATGGCCACTATACTACACTTTGTCAGTCACTGTAGCAACTAATTCACGGTCCACTAGAGCTACGTGTAAGTGAAATGGAATCCACTTTTATTTCGCAGAGGAAGGTTTGTTAAAACAAACATAACCCAGTAGGATGAAATTTGGACGATTTGTCAGATATCATATACCTTCGAACAGTGCGGCATTGGAGGCAATAATACACTCGATTCCATCTGTGAGTAGAATTGGTCCACCAAAAACGTTCTATGTCGTTTGTTTTAGTGTAACCATCTTAGGCTTTCCGATCCCGTTCAACGAACTTTTGGGTATCATAGTGAAGCCGAAAGCTGCGTCCAGGAAAATAGGCAGGCGGAATTCATCGCAAGGAAGTGACTGACCGTGTGTGTTTGTGTGGAAAGAACAGTGTTTTGGAACATCCACTCATAATTAATTTGTGACCGTGCTTACTCAAATGCTGCGGATACGGGAACGAACACCAACGTGTCTGTTATACCATTAAGTAAAAGTCATCCATGATAGTTTAGTAATATTTGGTACTTTATCGCCCTCACAAATCTTCAGTTAAATCCTCAGACAATTCTGCTATATGGCGGTTATTTGCCGCTCCCTCAAATCCTATCATAATATTTTATCAAGTCTCTTGCACACAAAAAATGTGTTCCAAATAAAATGTATAACCAAACTATCAGATTCCGGTTAGTTTATAATAATTAGAATCTTTTGGAAATCCCGGTGTCAACCCACTTTCTTCCAAAATAAACGTCACTCCGTTCACCGGTATCCCACAGAAACAATCATTTTGCTGTCTAGTTGCTACCTTGTAGTCAGACCCTTGGTAGGCAGATTTCAAGGTGGAGATTTTCGAGGCAAACGTCGATTCCAGTTTGCCAGTTAGGGAGAAAACAGAGTTATAGGGTTTCTAGCTAATGCGAGATGTTTGCTTGTCACAGAACAAGGAAATAACCCTAACTTATTCTATGTCACATATGTAATAGGGGAAAGTACAGACAGTTCGTACCTAGAAAACGACAAAATAGACATGTTTCAAAGTGAACGACTAAACCTGGCAATAGGTCTGTTTGTGCCACAAATGTGTTCAGTGATTCAACGGTTCGATGATGCGGACGGCAGATTTGATGCTTGGGTGAAAAATTCCGAAATATTTCCTCACAGTGGAATTGTATCGTCTTAGAACAGCAGAGTCAAGAATAGAACGGTAGAGTGTAAATGCAACATATGTCTTTACACGTAAATATGAATTATGCTAGTGTATTAGAAAAAGGCGAAAATAATTAACAAACTCTAGAAGTCCACGAAAATGGTGCACGCCACTCATGAATGGACTATGTCAGAATGCTACCAGTACAAAAATTACACCGAAAATTACGACAGTGAAGTTGCGAAATGATACCACTCCCAGGAAAATCGAAGGCCTGCAGCAATTGCCAATGAATTCCTCAAACTGTCCAAAGACTATTATCAGCCATTTTAGATTTCTGAGGAAAGAGTACTCGTTAAACACGCCAAAAAGCGTTGAATTAGTGATGTGCCATCAGTAAGCTCTTCATCAAACATTTAGATTTCAAGTTAGTTTCAGTACATCTCTTTCAAATTCGTAATATATTTTCAATTGACGTGTTAGAATTATTTTGAGTAACCGAGGTCTTGGAACAGAATTCGTTTCATTTGGGTAGTGACCCCCAAACTGTTGTTGCCGCCCATCAGGTATGCGTACCCCGTACTCATCTACCCAGTCATCTTCATAACACATAAGATATAACTCGTTATTCACGTGGCTTGCTTTTTTTGTTCCCCACAAATGTGACTTTCAAACGGACTCAATTTGCGAATCTTTAGTATTATATTTGTACATTTGTTTCCATCCACTCTGTTGAGTTAATATGCTTTTATAATCCCGGCATTGATAATGGTCATATTGGTAATCCCATAGGGATTTCAATTCAGTTTATCTGCTAAGTTCGACGAACAAATCTACACCAAACTGCTAAGTACAAGCTGTGTGGAACATTCCCATCATTCACCCGTTTGTCTTATGGCGACCAAACTTGATTAGCATTTTTGCACTGATGATGTATTATCTTATGTTGGTTCAGTGCGTCTCAATGGATCATTCAAATACTCAATGTACTGTAACGAGAGCGCCTGATATACACTTTCCATTTGCGTACATGATATCATCGAGGCAGCACTGTCTGATTTTATAAATACAAAAAATCGTAAGTAGTCGTGAGACACTGGGTTACAACAGTTGCATTCTCCCTGAATGTCGTGAGTCGATTTGCTGAACATTCGGACGATACCTCATTTTCGCCCTCATCAGTAGGTCAAAACCTTGACGGAATATGAAGCGAAACATGATTTATTTACATTGAGTCAGCCCAAATAATGATCAGAACACAAAGTTATTACACATTAGTAATTCAGGAGTTCGTATCTATTCTTTGGAACAGCTTCCACATAGCATTTTTGCAAATTTTGCAGTATGTTTGTGTTCGAATAATATTCCATCTGATTCTCCGTTATATCTTTTCTTTTAAACTCCAATAGCCAGTTTACAGGTATCCTACATACCTTTTCGCAGAACACAGAAAATGTCATTATTTTCGTTGAAATTTCGGCATTTGGGTGGCAGTTGTCTGAACTCAAACTTCTGGTTTCGGATGTATTCCCTGGCTTAAAAGTGAGCAATGGTAATAATATTATTATCAATAATATGTACGCACCTCCAGTGAGAGATAGGATGAAACGTTAATCCCAAAAGCTAATACTTACCTAGATGACATAAATTAGTTGAATTCGGGGAGAATTTGTTATTACGGTGAAATGTTTTCAATATTAGAGATGCCTCTTTTGAAAAACCACCAGTAAAGAAAACGCTGTTTTATTTCAACTCAAACTGATCGTTTCGGTTGCCGTGCTCTTTCGGTTTCCCACCGGAAAATTTATTGGATTGATTTCCTACCACAAGCGATTTTTATGAACCTCTAACAGGCCGTAACACACCAAGCATCATGATTCCCATCACTCGATGAAATCAGTACGTGACCTTCGTTTTTTGGGATGCTCAATTTAGACTTCATGTCAGCTGATGCTGATCGCATTTCAAAATTGCTACAGTGAATGAAAGTGCCTGCGAACATTCCCTGTTGCATTAAGGGCAGGGATTGATGGTGTTTTTCTGCACACAGGAATTTTGCTTTGTGCCCGTCATCTACATACCGTTCAACTACATTCCGTGCACCACTCTCACCCGACATGTATATTTTAATACCAATACCAAACAAAATAATGCCTAGATCTTTGTCTGCACAATTCCACCTGTTTCAAGAATGAGGTATCCGTCTTCTCCAATACACCAGCAGTTATTCTGCTGCACTTGCAAAGTCATATAGGCCTAATTTCTCTCACGGTTTCAAGTCTACCCTCCTATAGTGTTTCTTCAAATGAGACCACGGAAGACTGACGGAATTCGAGCTGGAGACCTAACAGGCAACTCAAACGGTTTATCCCTTCCTATCCAACCTATCACAAAAACGCTTTCATCGTATTATTGAGCATATGTATCGTATTGTGCGGGTATTCCATCTTCTTAGAACCATAAAAAAGATCGTATCACTGGTGCCATTCCTTCAAATACAGGAACAAGACAATTTTGTGGCGCATCTAGATACGACTATTCCAAATGATAATGACAATCGTAGCTGATGTTATTGACTTGTCATTGCTCAGGCGTTCTGCTGAAAATAGCTTAGAAGAATTCCAAAATCTTCATTTTACCAGCATCGGTCGGCCATATTTCTTCCCCCAACCCATCCCGCTTCATTCATCTAAAACAGCTTAATGTGCACTCGCTTGTTGCAGGTATTGTCTTGCGCTGCCGATAGTGTCCATTAAAAAGCTTTGCAACATGTTACACACTACGCCCATTCTCCATAAAAAGACAAAAAAATCCTTGACGTCATTGCATTCGAGATCCCATTTTTCCCTCGTCCCACACACATGCATGCAATCAACAACCCCATTACGATCAATAATCAGCTGCACCGATCTTCGGTG